CATGAAGATGATGCCCCACTCCATCCTATGGTCGCTTGCATCTCAACACCTCTTATTTTCTGCAGGGCACTCAATCATATCTAGAATTAGTTCCATGGAAGCAGAGTCCTTGGCCACATTTTACACCTGCCTATAATGGAACAGGGTTTCTAATTGCAGATAATTATAGCTAATGTTCTTTTGTACTTAATACTTACCATGTCAGGCACTGTCTGAAGTGTTTTACATGACTTAAATCATTTACATTCTTACAACCACTCCTATAGAGGTGTTAATATTGTTTCTGACATGCAGGAAGTTTCAGGGCAGAGCTGGAATTCAAATACAGAATCTGGAGCCTGTCCCCTAACCCTTCACATTCTCCTGCCTCCCCTTGTGGGTGCTTAGAGATGTTTGTTGAATGGATACATGACACATGCATGAAGCGGGAGGACAATGATCTGGCAGGAGGGCAGTGAGGCTGGAGGGGACAGAAGAAGAGTGTGTGAGGGTAGCAGGGCCAAGATGCTGCTATTGGCTTTGGTAGTAATGTGTACACTTATCCTTGATGGGAGAATACAATTTATGACTTTCTGAGGGCAATTTATCACAATGTATTACAAAACAAAAGAAAGCCTTAAAACACAAATACCTTAGAGCCATAAATTCCTCTTCTAGGAATTTTTCCTTAAAAGAATCATAATTTGTGTACAAAAATTATGGATGTTCAGTGCAACACATATTCTTACAGTAACAGTTAGATACACAAGCTTTGTGCCTCTCATCTTGACTTAATCAACAAACAGGACAAAGAACATGGGAAATATGTTACAGATTACCTTTAGAGGGTAAAATTATGGGAAATTTCTCTTTGAGTTCTTTTGGGTTGTCCAAGCTTTAGCTTAAACACATATCTTTTTTGTATTTAGGGGAAAGTGTTACTTTGACTAAAGGTAGTTTTTGAGCAGAAGTGGCATGATCTATGCTGTACTTCTGGATTAATCAGGCTGTGGTATGTAGCCCAGACCAGAGGAAAAAAACAATGAACAAGAGAAGAGCAGTGCGAACTCTATTGCAATCATCTTAGGCAAAAGGTAAGGACCTACACAAAGGTGTTGGTGAGGAAAACCTATGTGTTCAAGGGACACTGGTGTCCATGGGCAGGTGGCAGGCAAATAAACAGCTGGTTTGGATAAAGACTGGGTCCGGTTAAAAGAACCCACTGCCAATAATGTCCTAGACAATCAGGCTACTGGTGAAGGACTGGGAAGCTCCAGGTGGAGGTGACAACAGATGAGTTATCCCCGGCTCAGCCAGCAGAGAGAGTTGGCACCTGCCACCCACTGTCAGGTGGACTCAGCTCCTTCCCTCCTCCTGCCTCTGTCACTCTATCCAGCTTCTTGGTCAATATCTTTTATTTTTCTACTACTCATTAGTATTTTCA